TAATTAGTAGAACCTTATAAAATGTCATAAGCCGAGAGGGCTCTATTAGAGCATCTTAAAATAAAAATAGACTACAAATATTTCTCTAAAATATTTCTCAGACTACGATTTGGCAATTGTACGATCGCCGTATCGTGATTGGTTGAAATAAAATCGAGGGCCGGGCAACCGTTACATTAATGGTAATCGTCAATTCGTAGTCCGATACAGGCATATAACGTTCGCGCGAGTTTCGAGACCGACGAGGATCAATTTCGCGAGATGGAAGTATGTATACGTCCGAGCGATCGGCTCGGGCGAGAGAAGTGGCGAGACGCGGCGAATAGCGAAGTGGCGAGAAAATAGCAGCGCAGATGATCTTGCGACATCATGACCTCGTGGCTGAGATGTTTGGCTACGTCGTCCGTTCGGCGATCGACGCATCTCGGTGGACCCGCCGCATTACGCACACACGTAAATTATGTATACGTGCGTAACGTAGGCGTGCATATTATCCACGTTTGTCCGCGTGTACGAGCGCATACATGTCGCACCCACACGCGCACCGTCAGGTACCGGGGCGACGCTGCGGCGCCCGTTTGCTCTCGTTGCCAGACTCTTTGGCGGCTTGGCGTCCCACAGGCTACGCGCTGCCATCTCCCCCCCCTCCCACCCCTCTCGCCACCTATCCCGCCGTCGCACTCTCTCTAAACGTCATCTTCCTCTTCCTCCGTAGTGTCTTCGATCTCTTTCGCCATTCCACGGCTTCGTCGTCGTCGTCGTCGTCTCCTCCTCCTACTCCTCTTCATGCCGTTACCAACGACGTCATCTTCGCCGATGTCCGAGAGTGGCATTGAAGAAGTCACGTCTTTCTTTTTTCAGACTCCTCGCCTCTTTCCCCGCATTGAAATCTTCTAGGCGAAGAGGCTATAGTCGTTATTGTCGATGCTAACTGCATCGTGTATTACAGAGACCGACATCGCTCGATAAAAACGTTATTCCGGATCGTGGTTGTGAGATATTTTAAACAGTTAAATAATATTCATATATTTTTAATGCCTTCATATGCCACACAATGTAATTCTGTCAATTAAATAAACAAATAACATCCCCCCATTATATTCATCGTACATATCGTATCCATTTTTAAATAGAATTCAGCAGGATGGCCAGATCCGTGACGAGCATCAGAGCGCGCGAGACCGGCGCGGGCGGAAAAGGTTCGGCCGTTTAATTAATTTAATTTACCTGCGCAATACCCAAAATTAATTAAATTCTCTATACCGTGTAACATAAATTATTTTCGGGAAACCAGCCGTCGTGAATGCTGCGTGAAAGACGCTTGCTTTTCAATCAACCCCGTAGAATCGAATTACCGGAGTTGGCGAGCGCGCTCAATCGAGGGAGCGCCAAGCGGTTTCACTTCCCGCACCGGATCGAATCGTGCGGAATCCTCGACGGCTTCCACGACGGATCGAATCTCATTTAGATTTCCACGGTGAGATACTATACTCGTACGCCGCCCGAGCCGAGAGAGAGCGGGAGAGACAGCTCTTCCGGTGGAAGCCGTGGCACGCGAACGGCGTGTGTGTATATTCGTATGCACGTGTGCGCGCGCGTCCGTGCATACGAGCGGTGACCGCGCGGGAACTCTCGTCGGCTCGAGTAAACCTGGATTTCAGGAGATTTAACGGCCGCGTCTGCCGGGAATACGTTATCGGCGGCTCCCGCACGGTTTTCGCGATGCGGGAGCTGCCGTAGTCCAGGAAGCACGAGCTGCCGTAAAATCGCATCCATGGTACATGCGGGATTCCGCTGCGTACCTCGCGCGTGACGTTTACATGGAACCCGCCCGGGCGGAATACAAAGAGAATAAGATACGCGTGAAGGGAACAATTGAAGAGCCTAGATAGTAGGAGGTCGCGCAACATTTTGCTGAAAACTTCATTTTCCGTCGCGGAAATGTTACATGTCGTAACCGGCAAGCCATCGAATTAATCATAGGCTTATACATATGTATACGTATACTACAATAGAAATGAGCGCTGTTACGTGCCACACACGTTTCTATTCTTAAATATTTTATAATTTTCGCGACAAAACAACCCTTGTAGAAATTTAATATTAGAGTACTGGCTAATTAATGACATACATATTTTTATTAAAAGTACTATCAATATTTACTTAAAGTATAGATACATAATAATGATTGATTAACCAATATTAAATTTCTATAGGAAATGCCTACCTTAATAAATAGTAATTATTTATCTATATGTTTATATCTACTCTAATAAAATATCCAAATAAACCTTGTCCTGCTATCTCTTTAGATCTTTACCTAATGATTTATTCACATTTGTCTAAGATACTTTCTCAAATTTCCGATCCCCACAATCAGTTATTAGTCTTACAAAAAGAACGATTTTGTTGAAACATAAAAATTTAACCAGATCTGAAAATAAATTTGTTGGACTGTCGGCATATCATATAGATCAAGTATAATAAGCAATGCTGCAAAAAGTTTTGACCTTTTAGCAACCAACTTGAGCGTTTTATATAATTTCGATATCCAACAAAGTTATTTTCAGACCCGTATCTAGTTAAATCAAAAGTTACATCGATCCTCACATTCTTCCGTTCTTTTTAAGAATCTCCATTAATCGATATTTTTAGTATTAGAACGCGTCACGTTATTGGCCATTGCTTAACTAAAATTCCTCTTCCAATTGAACAAAACAAGATTCCTCTCGATTTAGAGTAGTTTATTCTCAGCCGTCTCTTGCAGCAAACACAACCTTTACCTCGCACAACTCGTTCAAAATAAAGTTAGCGAAAAGACAGTTCTTACTTTCCTTTAAAACAGTACATTGCATCTTGTATTTAACAGCACTTCTATTGAGGACAACATTGGTACATGGAAATAACAATTTTGTGAAAAAATATGTAAAGATTTAACTAGTTACACAAAGATTTGAATTTTATTGAACGCTCAAGCTGGTTGCAAGAATATCAAAACTTTTTGCAGCATTGCTCATCATGTTCGAGCTGCATAATTATTTTAATGTAATAAAATTATCGAATAAAATTATTTTCAAATCTGTATTTATATATATAATTAAATTTAATTTTTTTAATCGTTCTTTCCGTAAAATAAAATAATAATTGATCAGATGTTTTCCTTGTTCAGTTGTGCAACGTGTGTCGGAGAGAGCATTTGACTAACTATCCATTGCTCTCTCGTACTAATGTTATCCTCGCGTCTCTAATGGAAGCGTGCAGTCTATTACAGTCTATGGAATTAACAAATCGTTCTTCGTGCGTACGCGGCATTTCAGGCATCCCTTCATTGCAATATATGGAATCTCATTTAGGCGTTCTGCTTGACGTTTGACGCTCGCCGTTCGATTATCCTCCGACTCAGCTTCCGCGCGATCGATTATACATATATTATCGTTGAGGCAAGTTCGAAACTCGTTTTTTCTCTCGCTTCAATGATACTCTCATTTCACGGTCGAGTAGCAGCATCTCCAACGGCTACGGACAATGGTTGATAAAGACGCTCGTCTTCTCTCTCGGGTCGCCGATAACGATTCGATTCCTCTCCGTCGCTGACGGTTAATTAAGCGACGGGTAGCGCGTTTTTCGATTAGACGATCAAATGGCACGTTATCGATCGCGAGATGGTATAATTCAGCGCGTGAACGATCAACCTCGTTCAAGTTAGGGTTCTAGGGGTGCGATCCACTTAACCCTGTAAATGCTTCGTTGATCAATTAGAAGACAAAATTTTATGAATTGACCAATCAAAGAATGCTTCGAAGCATTTACAGGGTTAAGTGGATCGCACCCTAGATTCACAAGAGTATCATATCCTTTTTGTCTGAGAATGCCTCGTCTTCTTATTAGCTACTTTTCTTTTCTGAACGCCATTCTTGACCAATTAGTTTATCTCGTCCAATAAACGTTCAGTAATTTTTTTAATATGATTCGTTATTAAGTAAAAAATAGGTAGTTATTTGAACTATTCTTGTTAATGATCGCGTTCGGTAGAAAAAGCAACATAAATATTTATGTAACAAGTCAATATATCGAAAAAGCAATTTTGCAGAAAAATCTAAAACTTTGGCTATATACAGAGATCTGAAAACAATTTTGTTGGACCATCAAAATAATTTTGCAGGAATTTTAAACATGATGAGCAAAATGCTGCAAAATATTTTGACATTCTAGCTAGTAAGCAATTTTGTCATCTTATCTGTTTTGAGGATCCAGCAAAATTATTTTTCAGATCTGTATCTAGCTTGATTTTTAAATTCTTCAGTAAATATTGCTCTTTCAGTGTATTATCGTGTCACAAGAATGTATGACTGTGTTTCGTTGCTGGAAAGCATCCAATATCTCGAGCCTAAGTGGGAATCACTCTGGTCCAAATGAGGTGTCGCGTGTAAGAACCATGTAGGGTGGGAAGGAGAAGCTGGTCGCGCCGCGCCGGTGTGAGGGCATCTTAAGGCGAGGCCACCCGGCCTGGTTGATTAATAAGGGTGCGAGAGAACTACCTTCGCGTTCCATTCTCCTGCGCTCTCCTCACCATGCCCGCTTCTTTCGCGCCACGATCGTTCCCACGAAAGCGCATTCCGCGGCGGCTTGGATTTTGAGCGACGGCAGGATTCGATTAGCGAATCGCGTGCGTTTGTTAACCCTTCGCGCGTCCATTTATTCCCGGCCGGCATTCATTCGACCGGAGAGGAGCGGCCGAATGAGTGTTGCACCATTTTTCTTTTGTTGCGGCAACAGCCCCGTCCGATACGATAACGCGTTTGGAGTGAACTTATATTTACCTAATGTATTATGTACACGTGACGTCAAAGAAACGGAATGCTGCCGATGATTTAACAAGACCCCGTGTCAATAAATCTCGCACTTTGCGATCGTTTTTGCATCGAGAGAAAATACCGACAACCTTGATTTTGCAAAAAAATTATGGCAAAAAAACGAATTGTTGGAAACAGTGTACTCACTCTCCGACACGTTCGCCATTCCAGCAATGTTTGTCGGGATATTCCTCGCAGATCGCGTCCGCTAATGTGCCGTAGAAGATGCGGGACCTGAGGACGCTCGCCAGGAAGTTAACCAGCTGCTTGTGCAACTTGTTCAGCACGCTGTCTTGTGCGTGAGGCGGTAACGACGACGCAGCTGTGTGCACCTCGCCAGTGGACGACGTGGACGATTTCGCAGCTGCATCCGAGGACACTGGGCTTTTCTCGTCGGGCGATTGCAATTCCGAACGACCACACACACTTCTCACCTGAAAGAAGCCAAAGGCATCGATCGTGTCGGTCATCAATATATAACGAAATAAATAAATTCTCGAGATAAGAAACTAACTACATAGAAAAAGAGAACAACTTTGCTCAAACACGTAAAAATTTAATTAGATACAGATCTGAAAATAATTTGGTTAAACTACTAAAATAATTAGTACGGTATTCAAGTTGTATACTTAATAAGATGTCAAAACTTTTTGCAGCTCTACTTCATGCTTGAATTTCCTATACCTACTCTTTTGAAAGTTTAACAAAATTATTTTTAAATCTCTGCATTTAATTAAATTTTTGAATATTTCAGCAGAATCGGTTTTTTCCGTGTTTGCGGATAAATCAGACACCACGGTAGTGTTTCTGAATTATAAGTGACGGACAGGAGACATGATATTTCCAATTAGGTATCGGAAACACATGATTTTATATAAAAAGGAAACGAACGTAATGTTTGATAGATGACGGTCTTCTTTTCTTTTTTAATCAGGAGAAAATAGACTCGAACAAATCAAAGAAGTCGCACGACGAGAGACGATGCTCGCGAAAATGTGACACCCTGTATATCAATGCCGCTGCACCTGGCTGCAATAATGGTACGGTAAACGCGACACACGCATAAAGATCAGCACCGTAAGAGCTTTTGCCAGCTACGGCGCGTCCATTGGCAAGTGTCGCCTGCGAAACGACTTGTTCCCGTTCCGAACGACGCGTCAATTTCTCGACGATTTAATAGGCGACGCGCCCTGACAGTTTTTACACTCGGTCGCGTCACGCCACGTTTCGGCGCGTTCACGCGTTAATGAAGGCATACACGCGCGTATACACGCATACGCACGCAGTATCTTGTCGTCAGAGAGTATTCTTCTCCGTCCCAAAACCGCTGGTGGCCGGGCTCTTTCCGGAGGTCGCAGTTTTCCGAAGCACAGCGAAACACGTGAAACATTATGACAACTGACGATGATATTTTTACGGTGTTCTCGGAGATTTTGCAAGACTTCTCGGAAAATAGTATAACACGGGTCTTTTTATAGCGTAATGTCTGTCGGAGATGTCCAGAGCCCCAAAACGTGGCGTTGCCAAAAGCGCAACTTTTCTCGTCTTCTTCTGCACGCCAGCCACGTGTACGTGTATTACGTGTCCCAAGGTAATCTAAGGTGCATTCACAACGATCACGTACAGGAACTCGCGATATTTCAGCTGGCTTAAGTTGTAAATTGCTATTTACGGATCACGTAAAGGTCCACAAACGTAATCACGCAATGGCGAAATTATCGAATCTTACTCCACGGCGAAGGAGAAGTAATTTTTATCGATTTCATTTCGTCAAGAAGAGTTTATAACACAAGACGATCCGCATCGCGTATCCAAAAGTTTTATAACATTTCTACGCGTCATCGTACAGTTCGATCACAAAGATAAAAGCGTTTTCGCTCGGAGCGAAAGTTTTCTACTACCATAAAAAGAAGAAAAATATTATCTCTCAAATCGAAAACGGTTCCGCCTTTGTTTCAGATGTCCATTCCGATTGCGATTTTATAGAAAACGATTTTGTGTAAAAACACACCTCTCCGCTCCATTTTTTTTCCATTACTTCTTTTTTTTTTTGTCAATCCGTTTGAAATAAGATTTTTTATTTTTCGGAATTTTATGTTATACGAAATTCGTCGGTATCCTTTACAGGCAATGATGAAAATGTCTTCTTTGAAAGCCAACTCGTGATAAGAAATACGTTGGTCATTATCAATTTTAATTATCTTCATAAATGTATTTTATATGCGGACAGCCAATGGATTTCGATAATTTTTAAAATTCTTTTCTGACATAAAAACACTTTTTATCGCCTCGTTTCTAGTTATGTCGTCACTAATCTCATGTATCAAACATATAATTTTATTTCATTTTTATCGCTTTCGATTATCCATAATTATTAATCTCGTCAATCAACATAACAAACTCGTAAATTCCTTTTAATAGATTCACGCATTTTCGAAATCTTCTGTTAACGTTATTATTAATCTTATCCATCAATATAACATTTATCCACTACTTGACCTAATATACTGAAATTCTTTAAGTTCTTGCAAAACCGCAATGTGATGCTTTTGAATAAGAAATGTGCAAAGTGTGAAATTCTGATTTCAATAAGATTTTGTAAACATATATTTATACAATAAAATTATCTTTATATATCCATACACACACACACACATTAATAATACTTTTTAAAACTAATTATTTTCAAAATTCATAAACTTTGAATTATTAAAACAAATATTATTGAATAAATAAAGGTAATTTTATTATAACATTTTTGTATAAAAATCCTCCTTTTTTAATATCTTAAATAGTTTTTGATATTTAACGATAGAAAAAAAAAATTAAATTGCATTATTTATAAAGAATGGAAATTCATCCTGTATACAAAATTTCATTTAGATCAAAATTTAATACTTCAGGACTTGGCTTCAGGAAGGTTCCTTTGTTCATACTGAAGTTCTATAAGTGTTTTTTGAGACCACAATAAGTAACGCTTCAAATAAGAACTTCGCTAAGTACTCCACGTGAGACATTACATTCTCATCGCGACAATAGTTATCCAGGGAGATTGCTTTTGTGATTTTTACCAGGTCGTGCGATAGGCAATGAACCCGTCTTATCGTCAGTGAGATCAAAACGCACGAATCAAGAGCGTTTATCATCTTATCAGCCGCGCCGCCGTTTATACAATAATCATTAAAATGATCGTTGACATCTCTCCCGCGAGACTCCCGCGCCGCCTTTCTGTCCTAATTACTTTTTAACGCAGCCCATAAAAGGAGCCCGGGCCTCGGCAATGCGGTGGTTGCTCTTCGGGCTCTTCGAGGCGGCATAATCGTAAAACCGGCTGGCCGAGCGTAATTAAGACGGCACGCGTGGGCGTTCAAACGTCGCTCGCTCTCTCGTCTCTCGTCTTCTCGATTTCTCATTTTTTTCTTTCTCTCCTTCTCCGTCCTTCTTCCCTCTCTTTCCGAGAGACGCGACTCCTCCATCCTTCCTTCTCTCGAATCCTTGCTATACTCGAGCGAAGTGGACGAAACACGAGGCGAGTTTGGAATGCCGTGCATCTACCGTGAGAAGACTTCCAAACGAGTGGGACGATAATATTGTCCCACTGTGATTTTGCAAATATGCGATCTTGAATATTACACTTCATAAAAGAACTATAACAGTATTATGTAACTGATAGTATATATTATATCAATTATATTGATTGATGTGATTAAGCTAAATAGTGGCTTTTTATAAGAAATCAAGATTTCTCACTGGGAAATCTTTAGTTCCTATTAATTCTAAAAAAAACAGGAGATAACCGGCAATTCTAAAGCACAGTTATGCAGATAAGACTGGCATTTAAACCGTATCTGCAATATAACTGATTTAAATCGTTTAACTTGATAGTTTAATGCCTTCTCTTTCATTGCTTCCCGTCGGAAGAAGAGGAACAGATAAGGATGTTACATATATATCTTTTCTAGTAAAGTATGTTGAATGACTTAAAGGCCAATTATATTATAATAAATGATATCAAAAATGTGTATTAAAGAGATAGAATACAGAGTAAAAAATATAATATAAAAATATATAAATATAAAAATAAAAATAAATATATTAACCTTTACACGACGGGAAAACTGCTATAGAGGCGCTGAAACAATATCACATTTTGAAGTAAAGAATACAACGAAATAATCAGGGTTGGAAAGAAATTCATAAAAGTTACTCGCGATTACGTTACTGTTACTCGCTACTGATTTTAAAAAGTCACAAGTCTTAATAATTTTTGTTATTTTTTCATCAAATTTTGATGATTCGTTTCGTAGCATCCAACTGTTTTGATCACTGAACCAGTTTAATATGAGATCTGTAGTAATTACAATGCGGTTATGGTTAAACGCAACATAATCATGAAACTCAATTATTATTATTATTATTACACACGTTTCCATATGCTATATATATATTTATTATATATTATATACAAAGTGTAACGTAATAAAAATAACTATTATATTCCTAACTATTAACGTTACAAATCAGGAAATTTATAGTAACATCGATACCTATATAGTCATTACTGCAAAAAAGATACAAGTAACACGTTGCTTTCCAATTCTGGAAATAATGAATTATAAATCTTAAGGAGAAAGCTTATAAAATTTTAAAATAAACTCCCGTTCTCTAAAAGTTAAGAAAATTGAATAAAATAATATCATTTAATATAATTTTATATAATTTTTATAAGAGAAGGTTACTACAAGACATTATTAGAAAAAAGATGTACGCGTTAAAAACTAATGCGACAATTTTACGGAAGCACTACTCGAGTTCCCGTAGAAATCTCTGAAAGTCTGTTAACTCCAAAAGAACCCTCCTATTACGTCCATGATGTAATCTTCACCGGCGTAATTGCATCGCTCGAGATATGACGTAATCGCGAGAAACAGAAGGATTTATCCAAAAGGAGTAGATACAAATGGTCCCATATAGGCGCGCATTGTAAGAAAAAAAGAAGCGGTAGAAAGAGAAAAGAGAGAGTCAATCTGGACGAATGGGATGACACAATCAGCGAGAATAGATCCCCGCTGCGAAACGCGCGCGGAATCTTATCGAGAGAAGTTTCGCACGCGTGTCCCTTATTCGCATACACGCGAGCTTCGCCGACCAGGGAGGGCCGGCTGTACCCTTGACCCGTTCTACAGCAAGTGGCGACAATGAGTTCCGCTTCTCACTCGTGGGACAAACGAAGCGGATTAGAAGATTAGGATGTTATCGCTTAACGCGCCCGCGCCCAATCACGCTCGGCCGGCTCGCACGTACCGAATATATCGCGACGATCTCAGAAAGAGAGCTGCGTGAAGAGCGATCATTGATCGCTACTTGTATGCTTCCTCTGACGCCGGAAGCTAGAAATTTAGATTTCTAAGTTTAACACTGGAAAATAGCGGTA